CAGCAAAGGGGACGTTAATGTCGATGTGTGTTTATGTATGGTGTCTAGCTTATTTATAGAAGGAAAATAACCTGTCCTTCACCATCAACTTGAAGGTGATGGTGAAGGACAGGTTAATTAACCTCTTAATAATTTATTAAGATGTTTCTTCTGTACTTCTTTATCACATTTTTTCTTATATCACTTTACATCTTTTACAGTTACTTTTTTTTTTTTACCACTCTGAAAGTCTTTATTTTCAAGAGAGAAAAACAATAAAAACAAGATACAGAATTTCAAAACAAGATAGGAAATTAACAATGGTTAATATATTGCGTATTGGTCTCTTCAAAGTAGTTGCTTTGAAGGTAACAATAAGACATATCTTATATATCTTCAGACTATAAGACATAGGCCTGCAGAATCAAGCAGTATAAGCACAAATCACGCTTTTCATGACTATGAACGAATAGAAATTAGTAGCATAGCTACCTTAGCTATCTTGTGTGTGCATATATGCAACATATATATACATATATTTAATTTTTTTATTTTTGAAAGAGAACAAAGTCAAATTAAAATTTACAAGTGATACATGATTGCACTTAACAAAGTAATATGATTTTCACAGTATTTGTTATACTACATAGTGTAGTTTTCCAACAAGTTACTCATGTTATCAGATATATGCATGTAAAATTGGAAGAAGAAAGAAAAAAAAGAAAGAAATGTATAAGAAAATAAGAGAAAAGGTGCAATTGAAAAGCGAGGCAAAACAAAGCACTAACCATGAGACATTAACTGCTACTTTCCTCAGAGCAGAAGAGATGCACAGTACAGTTACCCAAGCCATCCTGCTTGCATGCCTAGATAAATATCTTTCTCCCACTCCCTTTCTTGTCCTTCTTAACTTGACAAACACTGGAGAGGTGGGCCTGGGCTAGAACTGGATCTCTTTACAGTTACTTAGATCTTCATTTCTAAGTTTTGGGGACAGTTGAAAAACTGAATACAGAACACATATATGACACCATTGTTAATTTTTTAAGAAGTTCAGTTCTGTACTATAAGTCATAAAAACATGATTTCATAATGTTTACTGCACCCCCTGCTGGCTACATTGCAGTACTCCTACATGAAGATTCTGTCCTTAGGCCCTGCTCAGTACATGCATAGGCATAGCCGCAGTATTTCTCTTTTAGAGTTATTTTGGTTTTGGAATGTTTAATTTCATTTTATATACAGTGAGGTTTAAATTTTAATTCAGGTCAGCATTCTCCTAATTTGTTGATTCATAGGTGAACAATGGTTATCTTTCCACGCAGTATAATAATGTATTTCTTGGAAACAAAATATTTGCCATAATTTTTTTACTAATATTGCATGTTAAATTCAGTAGAGTGGCAAGCATTTACCCCGTGTCTCTACCTTATTGTAAGTAACTACACTGCGAGGACCTTTGTACATGAATCTGTGTACAGAGTTATAAGCTAACTTCAACCTGGTGATACGCACGAGGCCTTAAGAAGAGCACTGGAAGTCCTAGAGCCTTTCTGAGCAAGTGTTGGCGTTGGTGGGGGGCTAAAGCCAGAAAGGCAGCGATCGTGGATGTGGGACTCATTGGTGTGCCTCGAGCCACGAGCCGGAGTCAGGGTGTTTCTGATCCTGCTGAAGGGTTTTATCTTTGCAGCAAAGTGAATATTTAAGGGAAACATAGTTTCTAATTAGTGCCAGATGAGGTAACAGCCCTTGAGTCTCAGTTTCTTAGGAATGAATTCAGAATTTGCTACACTAAGTGAGCAAAGACCAGTTCTTAAATGACAGGTTAAAGTAAATGACAAAATAACTTAGGTCTTTTTATAAATTAAAGCCAAATTCTGCCATGAGTTAAAAATTCCCTTATTGTGTTGCTTCTTTAAATGAAAACATGTATTCTTGCTGTGTGTATACCATTTGTTCACTGTTTTAACAAAGATTTACTGAGACTGTACACAGCATTCTCATGCAGCTTTATGCTGTTATCATACTGGTGTAATTGATGGCTTTTCCCACTCGATGCTCAAATTAATGCTCATTGGATGGATGGATGGATGGATGGATGGATG